GAGCCAAGGCAGTGATTAGGTGACCAAGCAATTGATTCTTTTGGATCCAGAGACTACGAATAAGTGGATAAAGGGATTTTATGTTTTATTATCAACTAAGCAAACATATTTTAAAGCCTAGGATTAAAAACATAAATACCAAGCAAGATGATTCCGAAATCTCCTATAAGCTGTTAAAGGTAAAGGTTCCCCTGCAGATGCATGTTCCTGACTCTAGGGGGCGGTGCTCATATCTGTTTCTAAGCCAAAGAGCCAGCAATCTCCTAAGACGTCTCTGTGGTCATGTGGCCGGCATGACTAAACGCCAAAGGCACACGGAACGCTGTTCCCTTCCCACCAAAGGGGGTTCCTATTTTTCTACTTGCATTTTTTACTGGCTATCGAACTGCTAGGTTGGCAGAAGCTGGGACAAGTAACAGGAGCTCACTCTGTTACGCGGTGCTTGGGATTTGAACCATTGAACTGCTGACATTTCTGATCAACAAGCTCAGTGTCTTAGCCACTAATCCTGTTAGGAGCTCCTTAATAATCACAGCAGGGATACTTCAAGGGTAGCCAGTTTCTACAGAATCCAATACTGGGTTGTATGTAGGAATTTCCGTCAAAAACAAAACAACCCTGCAGTTTTTAATCAAAATCTTGCCGTGTGACTTCATGGCCCCACTGTGGTCAGGAGATTGTTAGACTTGACCTTGTTTGGGTGGCCCATGACTTGGGGGTGGGTGTTGAATGTCTTGAGACTTTCACAACCAGAGAAGCTTTGAAGCTACCTGATGATCCTCCCCTCCCCTGATTCACTAAACAAGAGTGGAAATAACCAAGCAGGCTTGCTCAAAATGAACTGTCAAGTTGTAAAGGATTTTTTTTTAATATCAAGGAGAATTCCAAATATGTCACTAAATAACAATTGTTCTCCACACTGAGGACAATTTGAAATAACAATTGTCCTCCACACTGCCACTACAGTGGGTGGGTAGATGGAGGGAGGGAGAGGGAGGGAGAGAAGGGAAGGGAAGAGGGGAGGAGGGAGAGAGGGGAAGAGAGAAATGGAGGGAGGGAAGGAAGGATGGAAGGATGGAAGGAGGGGGAGAGGAAGGAAGGAGAAGAGTAGTGAGGGAAAGAGGAAGGAAGGAGTAGGGAGGGAGAGAGGGAGAGAGGAAAGAAGGAAGGAAGGAGAGGAGAGGAGTAGGGAGGAAGAGAGGAAGGAGGGGAGAAAGGAATGGAGGGAAGGAGGGAGGGGGAGAGGAAGGAAGGAGAGGAGAGGAGTAGGGAGGGAGAGAAAGAGGGGAGAAAGGGATGGAGGGAAGGAAGGGGGAAGGAGGGAGAGAGGGAAGGAGAGAAATGGAAGGGAGGGGGAGAGGAAGGAAGGAGAAGAGTAGTGAGGGAGGGAGGAAGGAGAGGAGTAGGGAGGGAGAGAAGGAATGGAGGGAAGGAGGGAGGGAGAGAGGAAGGAGGGAGAGGAGTAGGGAGGGAGAGAAGGAAGGGAGAAAGGAATGGAGGGAAGGAGGGAGAGAGGGAAGGAGAGAAATGGAAGGGAAGGAGGGAGGAAGGGAGGAAGGAAGGAGAGTAGGGATGGAGGGAGGAAAGGCTAGGCAGTACTCCTGAAAGCCTAATGGCTCTTTCTGTGTTCTTATCTTCCTCTTCTTCTAAAAGAAAACACATCCTGAAGTTTTTGGATGCGGAGAAAGACATCTCGGTGCTGAAGGGAACTCTGAAACCGGGAGACATCATCCACTATGTATTTGACAGGGACAGCACCATGAATGTTTCCCAAAATCTCTATGCCCTCTTACCAAGGACATCCCCGCTGAAGGGCAAGCACTATCGGACGTGTGCCATTGTGGGGAATTCAGGCATCCTGCTGAACAGCGGCTGCGGCAAGGAAATTGACGCCCACAGCTTTGTGATAAGGTAAGCCTCCTATGGAAAGGGCAAGAAGACTCCTTGGCTTCAGGCAGGGTAAGGCAGACCTTGGGTGGCAAAAAAGCAGGCTATCTTTTAGGAAAACTTCTTTCTCTCCTTCTCTCCTCTCCCTCCTTCTCTCCTTCCCTCCTTTTCTCTTATGAATGTATCACATAGCCAGGCTGCTTAATTCCAGGGGTTAAATAATGGCTCCTTCCTTATTTTTATTTTTTTAAATTGGGAGCTTAAAGAAGCTGTTCTGACTGAGGCTTCCCGAGAGCATGAAGCAAACACCTTGTCCTGATTAAAACTCCTTTTCTTAATTTGCTGTGAATTCTGCTCATCCACAGACCTTTTCTGGCTTGGAGAGCTGCCAGGCTGATATCTGCAAAACTTGGCAAGGAGTCTCAGAGGGTCAACGAACCAATGAAGCGAAATAATTGTCTCCTGCAAACTCCACTCCCTTTTTGCTCCTCTTTTATTTCCTCTGGGAGCAGCCATTCATTGTCCGGCCTTACTCCCAAGTCGACCCCTGTTCTTTAGCTGTTCCCTTCATCTGGCAGCTCTGTACATGTGCACATTGGGAACAGGCTCCAGGTGTTCTGCCTAATTGATGTCTGACGCTGAAGGCAGCTGATAACTGTCAGATGGCCTTGGCCCCCTCTCTGCCTCCGACACAGAGCCTTCCCCAGCCTCCAGGACTGGCCCATGTTTCTCCCCAACCTCCTCACTGTCCAAATCTGCTGCCAGCACTGCTGGCCACTGGCAGGCTACAACAGACGCTGTTGACTGATGGGAAAAGGCTTGGACAACGGAAGCCGTGTCATCTGGGGCAGGAGGCATCAGAGTGGCATAAGCAGCATTGCACCCAAGTGGGAGAACTTTGGCACAATCCTACAATGTTGTATTTCTCATTTGGAGGCAGGTAGTAAGAGACCTGCAGAGAGGCCGTTGGATGAAAGGAAGGTGTCAGCTGCTTGTCTTTGCTTTCTTTGAAGCTTGCTAGCAACGGCCATAACCAGGGAGCGAAGAGGCATTTGCGAAGGGAAGAGGGCTGGAGGTGTGAAAAGAATCATCATCATCATCAATCAGCCAATGAATAGGGCTTAGTAACAAGGTCAACCAAGTCTGGACAACTGAATGAAGCTGAATATTTAATGGCCAGCTGCCCTTCTTGTTGCCAATGCAGAGTTTTGTTCAGCAGATATATTCTCAGTGTGCCCAGAGAGGAGAAATATTTGTCGCTACCTAGGATCAAACTCACAGCCTCCTGATTGTGAGGCAAGTGCTCCACCTCTAGGCCACCACATCACTTGGAGGTGTAATAAGAATGCTATGGGAAATTGGGGAGTATGGACACTGACTGGAAACAGTGGTGCCAAATCTAGCCATCTTCCTGCCTTCAAGGACACTGGCCCTGGGAAAGGAATTTACCACAGTGCCAGAGGCACCAGCTTCCCAAAACATTGGAGCAAGACCTGATTGGACTATTCTCCCAGGGGGGAGGGTTTTGGACATTGGGGATTGCTTTCAATGTATGATTTTCGTGTGGTTTTTCTTCAGAGTTTGCCTTGCTCGTACTGCACTCAGCATCTCTAATAAAGTCAGAAAGGTTGTGGACTACTGCTCTAGAGGATGTCTAGAATGAAATATGTAGTCTGTCCCCGAGGCTGTATTCCTTTTTTTTGCTTTTTTCTTTTAGTATTTATAACTTTTATAATATGCTGACTCTGTAAACTGCTTAGAGAGGGCTGGAAAGCACTATGGAGTGGTGTATAAGCCTAACTGCTATTGCTATTTTATGTTTTATCCAAGTATAAAATAGAAAGGAAAATAAAAATAGGAAATTGAGAGAAAGAAAAAGAGAAAGGGGAATAAAATATGGGGTACAAGTAGAAAAAAAAGAAAAAAGGATTATCTCCGATTCTTTTTAGCACAGTAGAAGATAATATTACAGCCTCAACTTTTTCCTTTTACATGTTAGTATATATTAGCCGAGGAGACACTGTGGCTCGGTGGCTAAGATGCTGAGCTTGTTGATCAGAAATGTCGGCAGTTCGGCAGTTCATATCCCTAGCACCACATAATGGAGTGAGCTCCTGTTACTTGTCAAAGCTTCTGCCAACTTAGCAGTTGGAAAGCATGTAAAAATGCAAGTAGAAAATTAGGAACCACCTTTGGTGGGAAGATAACATTCTATGCGCCTTTGGCATTTAGTCATGCTGAAGGCCACATGACCACGGAGACGTCTTCGGACAGCCCTGGCTCTTCAGCTTTGAAATGGACATGAGCACCACCCCCTAGAGTCGGGAGCGACTAGCACATATGTGCGAGGGGAACCTTTATCTTTATAACAACAAATCTGTCTAATTAGCAAAGTCAAAGTTTCTTTTTTTTATCACAAGCACAAAATCCAGAAGTTATTTCCATTTTAAAAAAAAATAATTAAATAGATTCTCCTCTTGGAATAAAGCAACCAATTTCACCATTTCTGCTTTTTCTTCCTTGCTGGGGAAATAATATATATTTCTGTTTGCACGTAATAATCTTGATAAAGTAGCACCATTTATATTAACCGTATTCTTTCTTATTCTTTATCTTAAAGGGAAACCTTGAGCCTGTGTTCTAATCATTTCCATTTCCAGATGCAATTTAGCCCCGGTGCAGGAATATATCCATGACGTTGGAATGAAGACTGATCTGGTCACCATGAACCCTTCCGTCATCCAGCGTGCCTTCGAGGACCTGGTGAATGACACTTGGCGGGAGAAGCTGCTCCAGCGCCTTCATAGCCTCAATGGCAGCATCCTTTGGATCCCGGCATTCATGGCCAAAGGGGGCAAGGAACGGGTGGAGTGGGTCAATGAACTCATCCTCAAGCATCATATTAACGTCCGCACCGCCTACCCATCTCTGCGACTGCTGCATGCTGTGCGAGGGTGAGAAGTTCTCGGGCAACAGAGGGTGAAACAAAAACAGCAGAAGTTAGCTTGGAGTGGGAGATCAACCCAACATTTCAAATTTGGGACGGTTCCATCATATCTCAGTTGAGACAAAGTAGAGGAGATGTAGGAAGCAATGGAGTGCCTCTAGGGACTTCTGCCTTTCTGTTCGTGCAGTGAACCATTAAGGGAGGATAAAGTGAAAACTGAGTTCTGGAGGAGGGGAAAGAGTGAGAAAGTAGCTCAGAATACTATAACTGTCATGCCTGCCTCGACCTGGATCCTTAGGAAAGAAAGACCCTTGACTCCATTTGGTGCAAAAGGTATACTTTTACTAAGAGCCAAGGGTTTGCAGTACAGCAAAGCCAGAACTAAAGTTTTGCGCACAAAGTTTCCCCAGATAACTTCCCCATTTCCTTTCCTTCCTCCTGTTATCTCCCTATTGTCTAGTTACATTCAAAAGATTTGTTTTGGTAACAGTCTCTGCAGCGTTGGGCCAAACGGTAATCCGTTACATTCCATTCCCAGGCTTCTGGCCTTGGGACGGTGAGCTGATGTCTTTGGAAGGCACAATGAGTAGTTTCTGTTTCCCCCTCCCAACAGTTCCCTCCCCCTCCCATATTTTATGGCAGGCTGACATCTAGCAAAGCAAAGCTGAAGCATACGATGACATCTCTGACAATCATCTTGATTTTGTTTGATACAACCGATAGGCTTTCAAAATTGATGTTAGACCCCCAGGAAAGGCCAAGTGAGGAAACAGGTACCAAGAAGATTCTAGGAGTACTGGTAGTCCTTGATGTATGACCACAATTGAGCCCCAAACCTTTTGTTTCAAAGCGAGTCAGTTGTTCAGTGAATTTCCCCCCATTTTACCACCTTCCTTGCCATCGTTGTTAAGTGAATCACTGCAGTTGTTAAGTTAGGAACATGGCTGTTAAGTGAATCTGGCTTGCCCATTGAATTTGCTCATCAGAAGATCACAAAAGGGGATCATGTGACCCCAGGATGCTACAACCATCATAACTATGAGCCAGTTGCCAAGCATCCGGATTTTGATCATGTGACCATGGGTATGTAAGTGTAATTGTACTTGGACCTTTGAACAGCCACTAAACAAATAGTTGTAAGCCAAGATCTACCTGTATTACTTTTTTGCTAGATATAGAATAGCAGAATCTTGTATTAGATAGCTAGTTGGTTAGATAGATGGATGGATGGATGGATGGATGGATGGATGGATGGATGGATGGATGGATGGATGGATGGATGGATGGATGGATGGATGGATGGATGGATGGATGGATGGGTGGGTGGGTGGGTGGGTGGATGGATGGATGGATGGATGGATGAGGGGGGAGAGAGAAAAATAGAGAGACCGACAGGCAGGCAGGCAGACAAGTTCTGATAATTTTAATGCTGATAAAGAGATTATTGTTACTTAAGCATTGAGATGAATGAATCTGTTCTTCAGTTTATAAGTCTTGAAGAATCAATGTTTTACTCTAATTTGGAGCTCAATTGATAGTATAAGTAGGGAGCTAAGCAAAGTTGGACTAGGATAATATTTGGATGAGAAACTACCAGGAGAAATCTCAGGTGTAGTGCGAAATTGGGTACTTGAAAACTCTCTCAGAAGAAAGCTGTGATCAACCACCTCCTCGTTGTTGCCATGAAAAATGCGTAGGTGTCTCTGGGAGATTAGCAGGATTTAAGCTTGACTTGAAGGACATATTTGTTCCATGTGTTATAAACAGAAAACCTGATTACTGAAGATCCGCTCAGGAAATAGTCAAGCATGGGAAAGGTTTTTGGGGCTCCCGGTGTTTTCTTTTCTGTGGGAAACGGGTCTTTGACTGTTTAAGATTGCTGACCCCTGTCCTAGATCGAAACTCTAGCATAGTTCTACTAGGCCACTTGCCTATTCTACATTTGGCCACCACATCACTCAATGTGCCATAGCACCCTGCTCCATACATGAGGATTTCATCAAAGTTACCCTCTTCTTGGAAACGAATATGGAAAGCAAATTTCCTTTCACCAAATTGAGTGACAGCGTGTAGGCAGAACGACATGGGACAGTGATGGCTAACCTTTTTGCCATTGCATGCCAAAAATGGCGGAAGCGCAGGGGGGTTGTGCGCTGGCATGCCCACACCCATAATTCTATGCCCACAACCCCCCGTGCATGCGTGTGTGACCCCCTCTTTTTGTGCAGGATGGACTCGTTTTTTGCCCTCCCCATGCTCCAGAAGCTTTCTAGGAGCCTGGGGAGGGCGAAAGTAGCCTCCCACCCCGGAGACTCTCCAGAGGCTTCAGGAGGCTTCCCTGGAGCCTCTGGAGGTCGAAAAGTGGCCCTACAGGCAACCCAGAAGTTCAGCAGCAGACTTCCAGTTTGCACATTGGGTTGTTTTTTGCCCTCCTGAGGCTTCAGGGAAGCCTCCAGAGAGCGAGAAATGGCTGCAAATGAAGGCTGAAGTCAGCTGACAGGGCAATGCCTCATGTGCCCTAACAAAGGGCTCCGCATGCCATCTGTGGCAAGCGTGCCATAGGTTCGCCATCACGGGCATAAGAGATTTTCTCGTATGGAGAACGGCTGATTTAAACCCTGCTCGTTTCGGTTGAACTGACCTTCACGAGTCCCCTGGCATCCAAGGCGCCAACCCTCTCCAAAATAAACCCTTTGGTGCAAATAGTATTTTTTTTTCCCAGCTAAGGAAGAAACTTGGCACAACCGTCACAGCTCACAGAAACCCCGCACCAAATTAACAGATGTCTGCTTGTTTTTTGTTTTGTTTTCCAGCTGCCTCGGTCAATTCAAGTGGTACCTTTAATAGCGATGCCAAATGATGTAGTCGACGGGTTGGCAGCAAGGAAATATTGATGCCCTTTCTGCCAGCCTTCTCATTAAAACCTGGAATCTCGCACAACAGCGGTGGTGCATACAGTTGATGCCGCATTTCTTACATGCTTGCAAAATTAATTAGCCTTTGTTGTGGGCCCAGGTGTTTAGCCAAGAGGAGAGGGAGGTGCATGGTGGCAGCTTCTTGAAGCTGGTCAGGAACGGAACAGAAAATTCATTGCCTTTTGCTCTCTCCATGATTGGTATGAGCAGCTGGGATCCTCAAGCACACCATCTGAAGGAGAACAGAGGCCTTGTCTCTACAGCAGGGGTGGTTTCCTGCCAGTTCTAACCTCTTCTATAGAAGAGGTTCCACAAATCTACAGTGCCATTTAGAACCGGTTCCAGCTCCCTCCCCCTACCTGTCCGCATATCATCTAGATGAAGAGTGAGAGGAGGAATTCTGGGAGTTGAAGTCCATAAGTCTTAAAGTTTGAACACCCCTGGGTTTTTTTTTTTAAAGGGTTAGGGGTGCAAGGGTCTTGTAACTTGACAGCTTTAAGATATGCACACGTCAACAAAATGGTCTCGTTTTTAACCTTACC